TCCCCCAAGACAGTTTTGGTTATAAAGCTCTACTGAATTTAAAAAAAAAAAATTTTTGTCTAAGACTGTAGATTTAAATCGAAAATTTCCCCACATGCTTGTTGATAAAGCATCAAAAATCCTTAAGCAATTTTTTCATCGTCTCTCTCAAGAGTGTGATAAAAAGTCGACGACGCACCTTATTTGCGTCTAAGTGCCTGAGCACAAACCAGAGAAGCACCGGAAATCTGCCAAGAGGTAGAAAGGATGGTGTCTATCAGCATATTTCAAAGATAAGCCTCGTGCTTGTACCCCACACGAAACAGCCAACCTTTAGCTGAGCCATCAGCTATAATAACAATCCGATATGATTACACCATAATCGTAACACAACCGAGAAAGACGATGAGATGTTGGAGGATAGAGGACCTAAAGGAAAGCACTTTACACTTGATGCAAAGAAAATTACGCTTGGGGAATTGAGATATCATGTTTATATCTTCAAGTTCACTGACATCAACTAATCAATGGATTTTATAATACAATTCGTTTTGATAAAACTTTAGCAAATATTTAATGAGGTACATTTCAAAATCTGATGAATAAATATTATTTGCAGTATAAGATAATTAGTTAAATTTTTATCACCTAAATAAGCTAGGTAATTTTAATTTCAATCTATTTTGAAATATAATTTAAATTTTTACAAAATTAATCAATATTCAACTATAATTAAATTCAATCATGATATTTGTTCAATTATAATTTTCGGTCAACTCAGGTATATAACGATCAAGAAACTCTTGCAATTACTAGTATTGTTCACTAGGTTTCCAGAAACAGACAAGGTAATATTCTTTATCCAAATTCAAATCTAAAACAGACCATTTTGGTTGATACTTTTTAAATTAATATCTTTTAATTAAATATCACAATCGAATTTATAATCAAAAATATTTGAAATATTTTTAATTTTAAAAATCTTTCATTTAAAAATATTCCAATATTCCAATTGTTGGAATTAAAAGTAGTCTCTAATGTGTAAAATAAAAGTATTTTAAATATTTAATTAAATTTATTAATTATTTCCAGAAAACATGGCATCAAGTATCCACATTGGTTTGATACTATTTGCTTTCCTTCATCTTGGAATGGCATATAGCATCTGGGGTCCAAGAAGTGAGCAAGATGCTACTTTTGATGCAATGTTGGATATCTTCAAGTCTGTGAATAAAAACCCTATAACATCTGATATTGATGAAGAATCACAGTTATTAGCTGATAAATTATTAGCATTATTTAAACAAGTTCATGGAATACGTGTAAATGGACGAGATATTATTACTGATGAGACAGGAAGAGCCATAGCAGAAGTGATTGACATTCTTGTACATTACAGTGGTGATTCAAAGTTAGATGAAGCTGAGCAACAAGTCAATAAGGTTCAAGGGTTATTCTTTAATGAATATTTATACTTCTTGAATAGAAATATGTTACCTGATGAAACTAAAGCATTTATACGTAACGCAATAAGATTAGATAGTGACCAAAACTACGAGCATAGTGAAGCTATGAGCACTTTCTATAGAGCAGTTGCTTCAGTGTCTGAAGTAAGTATACATTTTTTTTTTTCAGTAATAGACTTGTGTATAATACATTCATTTATTTTTTAGAACCCATTATCTCAATACCGTAACAAGTTTCCAACCACAAGGGCATTCCTCAATGAACTTCTTAAATATAATCACAAAGTTGAATGGGATGCATTCTTGATGATAGCTACAGCTTATAAATTACAATCTCTTGAGTCAAATAGTAAGTCTAAAATTTCAAGTTTATTAAGACCATATGCTAATGATTAATAATTGACTATTTCTTCTAGATGATAACTACCTAAAGGAATTTAAACGTCTTAGGAAACAGATGATGGCTAAATTAGAATTGCATGACAATAAGTTTTATGCAGCTCTAGGCATAAATGAATCTCAACGAATGTAAACTTCACTATTAAATTTTAAATCTTGTATATTTTTTTACTAATCATAAATCCATATGTATAATGTATAATTTTGAAATATCATTCAAAAGAAAAAACAAAGACCTACAATTGTTATAAATGTGAATATGAACTACGTAGTTTTATTATATTCATTATATTATATTCGTAAAATTTAAGCAATCAGTAAAGTGTTAGAGAGAGTTCTTATCACTTCAACGATTATTAAATTCGTTGAATGATCATCATGTTTCTCAATTTAAAATAGATTTTAATAAAATTAATAAATATATGTGTCATTAGAAAACATGTTGATCTAAAACCGAAATGATTTTATTTTTAATGAAGTAATAATGATCCAGTAGTGCTGTATGATGAACTATCTCAATTAGATATTTACTCAGTTGTATCATCAATTTATCAGATATATAAAAAGCCCAAGTCACAATTATATTTACTGGTATTGTTCACTTAGTTTCTCAGAATAAAACAGGTAATATTTTTGATCCAAGTCAAATCTAAATTTCAAATAGACCATTATGGTTAATACTTTTATAATTTAAGTCTTCTATTAAATATCACAATCTAGTTTATGATTATTTGATTAAAAATATTTAGATATATTGTTAAAATTTAATATAGCTTTCTTGTATACTGATGTTTTTTTTAGAAATTATGGCATCAAGTTTCCACACTGGTTTGATATTCTTCACTCTCCTCCATCTTGGAATGTCATACAGTATCTGGAGTTCAAGAGAAGAACAAAATGCTATTCTCAATGCAACTCTAGACATTTTTAAAGCAGTTAATAAAAACCCTACAACATTTAATACCAATGAAGAATCAAGACTTCTGGCTAGTCAATTGTCATCATTGTTGAAACAAGTTTATGGAATACGTACACGTTATACGTCAATTGGTGATGATCCGTTGAGATACGTAGAAGAGCTTATCAACCTACTAGTAAGAGAGAGTGATGATTTGGAGCTACAAAAAGCAGAACTAGAAGTCTACAACAACCAAGTGCTATATGTAAACGATTATCTACAATTGTTGGATGGACACATGTTACCTCAAGAAATTCATGCATTTGTTCGTAGAACAGTGAAGTTAGATAATGAACGAAGCTATAAACATAGTAAAACTATTAGCAGTTTTTTGAAGATATTTACTTTAGAAGCTCAAGTGAGTGTACATTTTTTCTTCAGCCATTTTATGAAATTACTTCTATTTAATATCACATTTTCAATGTATTAATTTTTTTTTTAGAAAAAATTCAAAAATTATCGTAAAAAATTTCCACTCATCGCAACATTTCTCAATGAACTACGCAAGTATAATGAAAGAAATGAATGGGAGGCATTCATGATGATAACAACAGCTTATAAATTGCAATCTTTGGAATTAAATGGTAGGTTTAGAGCTTCAATTTTTAAGCTAAAATTCAATGACTTCAAATTTTAGTTGAACAAAATGCTAATGATTGATCATTCATTATTTTTTCTAGACAATAATTATGAAAAGGAATTCCAACGTCTCAGGAAGCAGTTGATGAATAAACTAGCATTGTATGCAGCTGGATTCAATGAAGCTCTAGATATAGTTCGAGCTGATGAATGACAAATCTTATTATTAATGCCTTAACTTTTTATATAATTATATTTTTTTTTTATTAATTTTAATGTACACTAATTTTTTAAGTATTAATTAAAGATGAAAAAAACTATGTTTTTTTATAATGTTGGAGAATATAAAGATACCTAAATGATTTTATTGATATTCTGAGAACATCATCCAAGTTATTTCAATTGTTTTGATCAAGTCATTTTTACAAATCTTCTAGGAATTTGTTTAAAATAGTGTAAGGCTCTTAATTTACTTTATTTAATTATCTCAATCAGTCATTATTAAACCGAAACAGATCAAATTTCACTTGAAATAAAAAAAATCTTTGGAGATGTTCACCAACAACTGTATCTTTACAAATAAAAGAACAAACTAATGTTTTTTGGAAGCATAAATAATAATTACAAATTATTACTATTTCGATTAGAGACACTTAACTATGATTTTATTGTTCTAATAAATTTTGTAATTACACAATGACCACAATATTTTTGTTAATTATTATGTAAGAAAATAACAAAAGAGTGAACAAACGATTCTTTACAATAGTAAATCCATAAGCAATTTTTGAATTTAGATAAAAATATTTCGATAATGAATTTTGTAATAAAAATTGATATAATTAAAAAATACATTTTTATTGTTCTTTTATTTCATTAAAAATTTATTTTATTTCATTTTCAATGAGCATCCAAGTTTGTTAGTATATGCTCAACTTATTTTCAACAAATATAATCTTGTACATTATTATTAAACTATTGGAAAGATAAAATAACCTAACACTACTTCAACCTGTCTTAGGTGTCCAATCATAAAATTTCTGAATGTAAAAAAAATTAATCAACTTTAAATAAACTTTGTTTTTAATGCACGTCTTTAAGTACATTTTATTCCCACGATTACTCTCAGTCGAATTATTTACACTAATATTTTCAATTAAGCAATTCCTACTAATCTTTCGGAAAAAACCATACTCATAGCTATATTACAGTAAAAACCCACACTTTGAAATGTAAATATTAACTACATGTTATTACTTAATTGATAAGAGACATTGTAATATATTTTTATTACTCTAATAAATTTTTTGATGCTCTCTAATGACCACGATTTTTCCCATCATTATCAAAATTTGTTTTTGATATTCAAGTTTAAAAACAAAAAAAATTAAAGAAAAAATTTTGATTATTGTCATTGATATTTGCTTCTAATTTTAGTAGGCTTGTTACAGTATACATTTGCAGTAATAAATTGATAAAAACTACTTTAATTAAATAATAATGGATCAATAGCGATATTAGTAATAAAAAATGATATCCACAAGTCAAATGATGTTGTGTATAATAAAATAATTTTACTGACATGAAATGTTTACTATAATCTGACGTATACAATTATGGCCCAATAGTACTTGTGGGCAAAATAAATTTGATTAGATATATATTTAGTCACAGTTTTATGGTGAGTCAGGGTATATAAGAAGTCCAAGTCACAATTATATTCACTTGTATTGTTTGCTAAGTTTGAAGAACAACAAAAGGTAAGATTCTTCACCTATATTAAAGTAAATGTAAATCTAAAACAGACCATTTTGGTTGGTACTTTTCAAATTGAAGTCTCATAACTAGATATCCTAGTCTAGAATACTTGAAATATTTTTAATTCTTGAAAATCTTTTATTAAAAAAAAAAAAAATTGAAGGTATTGTTGAAATTATATTTAATTAAATATGTTAATATTTATTCAGACAATATGGCATCAATTATCTACACTGGTGTGATCCTTTTCGCTCTCCTTCATCATGGAATGGCCTATACCATCTGGGGTTCATCAAGCGACCAAGAAGATATTCTAAGTAAAACCTTGGATATCTACAAATCTGTGAATAAAAACGTTAAGACATCTAATATTGAAGTTGAATCAAATCTCTTGGCTCGTGAATTATTTTCATTTTTAAAACAAGTTCAAGGAATACCAATTCATCATGAAGATACACTTTTAACTCGTGTAGCCGAAATTATCAGCATTATTGTACACCGAAATAATAATTCAACATTAACAAAAGCTGAACAAGAAGTTGCTAAAAATAACAGACTATTTGAAAATGAATATGCATGGTTTTTACGAAATAATATTACCTCTAATGAAGCACAAAAAATGATTCGAGAAGCGTTAGAGTTAGACAGTGATTACAATATGGAGCACAGTAAAGTTATGAGCGAATTCTTCAAATTATATCTCGAAAGACAGAACGTAAGTATAAATTTTTTTAAATTCTCTACACTGAAAAACAAATTTGCTATAAATAAAATATTTTTTTGAAGTTGACAGGGTAATATTTTTTTTAATTCAGTTCTGATGATTACAATACATTTTTATTTTGAATATAATTATCTGAGTATTGGTTGATTCCAATATTTCATTGAATGATCATTTTTTTTTTTTTTCAAATATTTTATTGAAAATTTTTGAAATATAAAGAAGAAATTTTTTAAATTTATAAAGAGAAAAAAAACTTTATTTAATTAATTCTGTATTATACTAATCATAATTATATTTTTTTTCAAAAGGAATTTCCAAGTTACAGTAAAACATTTCTAAATCGGGAGAAATTCCTCAGTGAACTTTATAAATATAATGTGAAAAATGAATGGCAAGCATTTTTGATGATGACTACAGCTCATAAACTGCGGTCTCTCGAGTCAAATGGTATATCTAAAACCTTCAAGATTTCAGTTTTTAATAAAATAATAACAGTCGAATAAAATATTAATGGAATATTTTTTTTCAGACGATAACTATGTCAACGAATTCCAACGTCTCAGTGACCAGTTGAAAGAAAAAAATAGTATGCATTTATCAAAGTACTTCATAGCTATGAACCCATTATTAGGAAACTGAGCAACGTAAAATTCATCTTTACTTCAATAATCAGTATCAAAAAACCTAAGAAGCTTTTATAATTATATAAATACATTATACATTATCACTAAATATTTCTTTTAATGATTAATTCTTTTTTTTTTCCTATCAAAATGATAAAAGTTGCATAAAATTTTTATTTTGTTAATCTTATCTCTAAAATTAGAACTTTAGACTATGTAACTCAATCTTTATCAAGAATATAATTTTTACAAGCAAAACAATAGAATTTATTTACCAACTAACACAAAATTTATTACGAAAATTTACCATGATTTATCATTAACTATCCCTTATTCCTATTGATATGTATTCCTCGTTAACGAGCATGATGCTATATATGAATTAAATTATTACGCAGAAGAGCAATCCAGACATACACTTCGAGTTTCGATTATTATCTGATAATAATGCGATCGGTTATTGTTAGTACAAACTGATGACAATTGGTAATTGGAATCAAAAAATATATGGAGTGATGGTTTTGAACAAATAGTATAACTGTAGTGTGTATACTAGTGGATGTTGATGTGTAGCTACATTGAATGAACAGGTTCTACGTTGACAATGACACGCTCTGGCTTTTGATAGTTGTGTAGAATTATCGATAAATCAAGAGGGCATAAGGGTGAGTGCATACGTTTGTTATCTAACTCTTAATTATATCCAATTAATGATCGAATTGGGAAATTATAGAACAATATGTATCGCGTCGATATCAATAATATTGTAAATTAAACCAAAACCATGTAAAAATAATGATGTTAATAATTAACGAATACGATTTATTGAAAATTGAATTTTAGTTTAAAATAATATTTATTCTGCTTGTAAAACAATGGCTAGAGATAACATAATTAGAAGAATTTCATTCATTTTACAAATTAATGGAATAATTAATTATTACTTTTAATAATATATACGATAAACTTTAAATACTATTTTGTAATATATTTTATTAGTTTAAGTTTGATAAAATAAATCAAATCGTTTTAGATAAAATTTATAAAAGAAACAAAAATAATTTAATTTTTATTAAATAAATAATAAAATAAATATCTTTAAGTTATTTCCCATTTTTAATAATCCAATTTAATTAAAAAACAATTCAAGTTTACTATACATTTTCACTGAAAGGTATGATAAATATTATCAAATAAAAATAATAAAATAAAATTATCATTTTTACCTGATGATGCTAATTATTTTTGGATGAATTGTTTTTCAATTAAATTCAACTATTGGAAGTGAGAAAAGACTTAAATTAATTACTCTATCATAATTAAAATGAATATTTTAAATATCTATTAATAAAAAATATTTATTAATTTTTTCTCAAATTTAATAATCAATAAAAAAAAAATGATTCTTTTGCAATGTAAATAATTTTTCATCTCAACATAATAGCATAAAAAGGCTTTTATGATCATAAAAAATATTTAACTTGGTCATCTCACTCCCTAGGAACACATTTAATTGCAGATAAAGTAATATTTGAGGAGGGATTTCTTTTTACCATACCTTGCAACAAAATACTCACAGCAGATAAATATATATAAAAAAAGAAATATCGTTGAAGATTGGAATTATATATTAATGATAGGCTATGTTGAAGAAAAGCTGAATAGATATAGCTGAAGATGAGCGAAGCTGTATATATCTATATAAATATATTCTGAGCTTGGAAGCCTTGACAATACACCCTCGACGTCACTCTCAATACCTCGACAACGGAAGGGAGAACGAGGGACTTAGAATCGTCGGATAGAAGCTATATACCGCGGAACGATGAAGGAAGAGATGCTGAGAGTCTTCGAGAAGAAGCTCGTGATCATCGATATGATGGAGAGGTGGGAAAAAAAAATGATGAAAGGTATTATACTCTGAGGTTGTGGTCTTTGCTGGTTTGTGTATAGCACTAGGGTAGGCAAAACCAATCGACCGTCAGTCAATGAGAGGACTAAATAATAATAATGATAAGACAGAGAGAAAAAGGACGTTAACTCCTACATCACCTACAACGATCTTTTCAATTGACACTTGGATATTTAAGAGTTCTACACCGAGAAAAATAATCAGAACTTTATTACTTGACTAATCAAATTAATTCATTTTAGATAACGTTATTAGAATTCTAGTAAAATTTTATTTGCAGTCTTAAACTGTTTTTCATACCATCTGATAAATAATAGAAAAATGAGTCTAGACACACTTTGTGCCTTAACTCCTTTTTTATTGATATCCGTAATTAAGTCATCTTTTAGTTTTCTTTTTTGTTTAGAACGAATGCCTATTGTTATAAATAATATACAATTATTTGATTACATCAAGTTATTTATAGCAACATTTTATTGATATTTATCAACCATAATCATAGTGATGATCATTCAATAAATTAAAACCATTTTTAATTGTCTATAATTAATTTTAATTTGTTATAAACAATATATAATTGTTTAAAATTATAAAAAGTCTGTATGTACATAAATTGATTTTTAGACTTCATTGTAATAACTTATTCATGAGAAGTTAAAAATGAAGTAAAGTGAATTGAAGAATTTGTTCACTTTATATCTCAACCACATTGTTAGAGCTACTTGATTAACAAAGATAAATAGTAGAATCTAAAATTTTGAGAAATTTAAATGGGTAGTATAGAACAATTCTTTATACTTTCTGATAAATAATGCATTACGTTAATGATTTCATTAACGTAATATATTGTTAAGAAATTTAATACAATTATTTATTGTGTACCTCGAGTATCTATTGACGAGACATTTCTAGTAAAATTTTCCTGACTCTACAATCATCTAGTTAAGTGATGGAATTTGTAGTAAAGTTAACTAAAATTCTAGCAAAATTGTTATTAATAAGAAATTTTTTAAAAATAATGAAAGTATTCATTTTTATCTAAACAAAAATGAATTTTTTGCAGAGCATAAAAATTTTCTAATATTTTTCATTATCTTTTAATCCAACTTTTTTATAAAAAAAAAATTGCTAATTTTTTCTCTGAATTATTTATAATTGAAAAAGTAACATTATTTTTTTGCTGAAGATTATGTACTCAGATATACTTTTTATCGCCCATAAACATAAAAGTGGTCTAGGGTGTGTATATATACTCACCCCAACCTACATAGACAGTAAACAAACTGTCTGAAACACTCCGGAACATTGCATTCCATTGAAGAAAGCCTCAGGTCCTCTCGACGGCATTATCTCGGTACATATTTAAGTGTATGACGTGAACAAGACTTGGTTCCATCCTACTCTTGAGCTTACGACCCCCCGGAAAATTCGCCTTTCCTTCTCACCAATATCTTGGTTGCCTATTCCATGTCTCTTATAGAGAAACGTCTTCACTAAAATCCATCGCCACTGCTGGCGTCATGGACCTATGTACGCGCAATATAACCACCCCACAACGAAAGCTCCTGAAAGTCCTCATTTCCCGGTTGCTGTCAGACGCAGCCCTGGGCGGGTCATCAGATAGTGCGGTTCGGATAATACTGGTATATGTAGTACGAATATGCCGCAGGAGACGATGTCGTTATAAGGGTGATGTGTTGGTGGCTGTAGTCATCGCTTGCTTGCTTTACAGTCAGGTGGACCTGCTCTATAGTGCTCTGGACATTACATTATCGTTTGCGATATATTTTAAATTGCTCCGATATGTTTTTTCAAGAAATATCAGTTTATATCTTTCTCGTTGGCTGGTTTCAAATCAATGAGTGATAAGATTTTACGACAAATTCGGGTAATTTTTACCGTTGATCTTCAATAATGTTATTTAAATAATATTAATCAATAAAAAATAACTTTTATTTCATTTTAACAACTGTCTGATCTAAAAAATGTTGTTAAAAAAGTTGAATGATCTTTCAATCAGAAGATTTTATTTATTTCCTAATTTTTTTAAAGTTTAAAATTTTCTATTCAATGTATTGGGGGGTAGTTATTTAAATGTGGTTCTATTTTTGAGTCTTGACCATGGCCTGCTTCATTTTTAAGAGGTCTTACCTGATACAGAATTTGTATAGCAGTACATTTAGGCCCAGAAAAGAGAATAAGACCAAGGTCATTAAGTAATTGTTTATATAATAGGTAGTTTCACAAGAATAATAGAACAGTTGGAGGGTAATAATAAAGTAGTTAAGAAATAGTAATAGAGTAGTTGGAGGGTAATGACATTTGTAAGGAAATGAATTCAGGCCTAAAAGAAAGAAAAGGACCATGACTACTGGGTAATTATTTATGTCATGAGTAGTTTTGCAGTAGTAATAGGGTAGATATAAGATAGAAATGAGGTAGTAACAATACATTACACTGTAAGAAAATGTAATCAGGTCTATTTATAGCTATTTTTTATTGCTACTGGGGTAAATACATGAAGAAAATGCTTGATTAATGAATTAAAGCAAAAAAAAATATTGATCGATAATAAATGAATGAATGGAAAATACTTAACTTTCTCCTCCAAAAGTGTTTAGCAAATGCAAAGTTGTTAAAAATTTTGATAAATGATGCTGAAATAAATTAAAAGACAAAAGAATAGAAAGATCGATAAACAAGATGAAAAAGAAGATTAAACATTGTAACTGCATTCTGAGCGACTAAAAGGAGTTGTTTTCCCCTGGTAACCATGGCACTTGGTTAATGGATACTGAGAGTCTTACGGCAGTAGAGAGAACGTCGTCGTGCGACGCCAAACTTAAACTCGTTAATTACCGACGCGAGGGCAACTTCTTGCTCGTCGCTCGAATATTTCAAACTATTGTATTCGCAAACCCCCTCCGGGAGTTGGCCAAAAGACACCCTTTGCCTCGCTCTCGTCCAGAATTTCTGCTCCCAGAATGTCCCAGAAACCCTGGAACGTAGTATTCTGGGCTCAGAGTCAAGTGACGTTAAGAAGAGAGGAAGAGTAAAAGTAGGCGGGCACTAGTTAGCTAAGAGGCGGATCTGTGTGAGAAGATACTCAAAGGAAACTCAAAGGAAATTCTGAGGAAGTAGATTGTAGCTTAAACATGCCCAAATTATAATCGATACCTTCAAATTCTCATTAAAAA